TGTCTAATCCTTCGGATGAGACGAAAAACCGAGGTCCCGTGAATACATTGGAATGCACGTAAAAGATCCCTTGGCAGTTGGAATTCGATATAAGAGTAGGCGATAGTGCCGCTGCCCGGGCAAAATTTCCCTCATAGCACACTGTATGACGTATGCCCGTCTTCATTAGCCCAGTTCGGAGTAGAACAGTATGACGTTAAACCCCATTTCATTTCATTTCATTTGTCTCTTTAATATGCATCATACGTTATAACAATGTCATGAAGAACTATTCTAGAAGATTTATATCTTGTTGATTGTTAGGAGTGAGCAGAGGTTTGAAATGTACACATCTTTTTTGTGCTAAGTAATCTAGAAATATTCGTAAGTGACAGAAAAAGATTAAAGTCATGATCACGAGATATAATTTCAAACACATCCGCATAGACACTTTATAATGTTAAATAGGTTTTCTGTCATTTCTTTTTAACTACAGACTGTGCATGAAGTGAAATGAAATGGTGCTTAACGTCATACTTTCCTGCTCCGACTGGGCTATTGAAGACTGACATTTTCCATACAGTGAGTGGGCTATGGGTCAAATTTTGCCCGGACGACCTAGTTTTATTTCGAATACCAACTTTCACGGGTTCTTTTACGTGCATGCCAATATGCACACGAGACCCCGTTTTTTGTCCCACTCGAACGACTAGACCCTGTCCTTGTCAGGCTCCCTGCCCTGCACAACTGACAAGGATTAAGCGAACCAGCAAATCTCTAGAAACTTTCTTGGCCAACACCGGGAGCGAACCTGGGACCTCCTGGTTGGCGACCCAATGTCTTACGTAAAGAGCCACCGCGGCTCCCGTCTGAGCATGAATGTGGATACGCAATATACAAGTATGCATTATAAATCTTCTAGCTGTCTATATTTATTATCATTTAGTTGATAACTTTGAAAGAGAAGATCAACAAAAATCACTTTAAATTAAAATAGTCATTCTGTTCCGTATTATGTCTATAACTTATATCAAGGGGGATTTGGTGGTCCAATGGTTAGTATGTGCGCGCTGTATCTTAAGGTCTGTCATTGAGTCAACTGGCGTGGTTTCCCGGTTGTACGTGACAAGGAGTAGAGTCGCATGTCCAACCTCATCGCTTTTCTCCGGGCCCTCCGTTTTCCTCCCATTGCTAAAGACTCCCACGCGCAAGCGAATTATTGAAATAAAATTGAACCATGTGTTAGTCGCAAAATGACCTTGTTTGTGTCGAGTGGACGTTAAATCCCATTTCTCTCTCTCTCTCTCTCACTCTCTCTTACACTTATATCAATTTCTAAATTTACTCAAGGAAGTTGTAAATGTACATATGTACATCCCGTCTTAATTAAGCCAGTCAGTGCAGAAAACTAGGACGTTAAACCCTATTTTAATTCATTTATACATATAGATATAACGTTTTGATTCCCCATTAATCGCGCTACAACTTTTGTTCTACTCATCAAAACCAGAAAAAGATACAAGGAAGTGACATGAAGGTGGGCGGATGTTGCGACATTGATACAAAGAACTGACCTGCGTGTGGACAGGTGTGGCGACCTTCACACAAGGAAGTGGCCTGTTGGTTAGCGGGTGACTTGCAGATAGGGGTGAACTATGGGTGCTAATTCGTGCTAATAGCAACTACCGGTTTAGATTCAGACGTGAAGGTGGGCGGATGTTGCGACATTGATACAAGGAACAAATCTGTTGGTGGACGGGTATTTTGCACATAGAGGTGAACTATGGGTGCTAATTCATGCTAATGGCAGTTACCGATTTAGGTTTTAGATGTGATGGTTAAAGTAGCTGGGGTCTCTAGGATATGGCTCCGCATTTCCAAACACATACGTTTAGTCCGGAAATTTCGACTTTTCCACTTAGTTAGGTGGTTGTTGGGTGTGCCACGGTAACTGGTTGAGTAAGGTGCCGGCTCACATACCAGTCAGTCCAGCGTTCGATCCCTTGTGAGTTGTGCAGGACGAGAGGCCCTGGCAAGGAAAGCGTCTAGCCGTTCGGATAGGACGAAAAACTATGGTCCTGTGTAAAAGAGCACTACACAGTTGGAATTCTTCCGGACCAAATTTCACTTATAGAACACTGTATGGCGTATACTCGTCTTTATTATCCCATTGGTGCAGAAAGGTAAAACATTATACCCCATTTCATTCATTCATTCCCTAGAGTTTTCATTACTGTTTTGAATTTTGGACGGTAGCCAGCGTAGAGATAAGGTCCTATTTTAAGCCATTTTGATTTATAAATTTCACACCTATTCGCTCACCATACACACCAGATTATGGAATTTTTATCTTTTCAAAGATGATTCTCCGACCTTTCGACGAGTTGTATGTGGTGTGTGGGATGTTGTTCCAATTATTGCAGGAGGGGTGGGGGTGGTGAGCGTGTACGTGACAAGGAGTAAGGTCGCCTGTCCAACCTCGTGGGTTTTCTCCGGGTCCTCCGGTTTCCTCCTACTATTAAAGACCCCTACGCACAAGAGAATTATTGAAATAATTAGGTCGTTTATATTTATGATGGTACGTACAGGACTCAAATTCTTCTCATGTATTTCGTAATAGTGAAATTAAAGTATAAGAGAGCCATGCATTAGTTATTTTGTAATTTACACTTCTCCATTCTGCAATTTCAAGTGGAGTGTCAGACATCCATATTGTACAACATGTGAAATGTGAATGATATACAATACGTTTTGAATTACTTTACTTCAAATAACGTACTCGTGTTTTCTGGGCCACTCGATATTAATATGACCGAGGATCTCCCTGGATTAGTTGAACAGATTACTTTTTCAGTGGTTTTAGAATGGACAGAAACATTATAAACGAGCGTGTCCCAGAAACCCTGTATACTTTATTATTCTTTTGTGTTAAGACTAGGACATTATGTTTGATGCATGAGAGGGATATTTAGCGTGGACGAAGGTTTCTGACTCTTTGGAAGCCAAGTTCAATCTCCGCGTTGCTCTAGGAAGTTCCACGGGATTTCCCAGCTTAGTTCTTCCATATGTCAGTGGGGCAGGACAGAAAAGCGTCTAGCCGTTTGGATGGAACAAAATCAGAGGTTCGATCGTGTTCTCGTCGGCATGTACGTAAACGAACTCTTGGCAGTTGGATTTCGATGAATAGAAGACGGAATTTTTAACACCACATGCCGTTCTTCATTAACACAGGGAGTCACAGTGGCGTAGTGAGTAGGACGTTGGTTCGCTAACCATCTGGAGGTCTCGTGTTCGATCTCGGTGTTGGCCGAGGAAGTTCTTCGGCGTGGTTTCCCCTTACCAGTGATGTGGGACGGAATACCTGGCAAGAAATAGCGTATAGTTATGCGGATGGGATAAAAAAACCGAGGTCCCGTGTACATATTGCTGTGCACGTAAAAGAACCCTTGACAGTTGGAATTCGAAATGAGAGTAGGCCAATTCGCCAGTGTCCGAGCAAATCTTCATTCACAGCACACTGCATGTCGTATGCCCGTCTTCTTTAGCCAAGTAGAAGCAGAACAGTAAGATATAAACCCCGTTCCATTTCATTTATTCATTAACTCGGTTGTTGCAGAAATGTAGGACATTAAACCCCATTCTGTTTCTCTCGCTTTCTCTTCTTAGAATTTGAACAGATACGTGAAATGCTTACTTGCATTGACGATGATATAAGTAAGAAATAATTACAAATCTCTTTATTATAAGTGTCATTTTGTTAATGTCAGTCTCTTGATAAAAATTGAATGAAATGGCTTTTCAGGGGCGGATCTAGGAATTTTTACATGAGGGGGTTTGCCAGGTTCCTGTTAAGGGAATCTGACAGTTGACAATGCACGATGCCATCATCCTCTCCAAATAACGTAGGCATACAGACATACTGAGCTTTTTAAAGTGATAAATCCGACAACCCGTTTGACGTCAATTTGTATTATGAATTAATAGGATCATTATATCGCGCTTTGAATGCCCACCCCATCTCACCATCTGATGATAAAAGATAAAGCTCACGATCGTGACTCTTTTCGCATAAAAGTGCTTTTTTAAAAATAAAAAAAAACAATGGGGTTGAGCCGGGGGGGAGGGAGGTGACCCCCCCACACCCTTTTCGCCCCTGTGTTAAATGTCCTACTTTTTTGCACCGACTGGGCCTCTTGATAGATATTCATATCTAGCATTCTGGCGGCTTCTGCAGTAATATTATAATATTATACAGCCAAATACCCTGTATCTACTTAATCGGAAGCTCATGGAGCCTATACGGCGTCCACGTGCTTTATTTCTCGTTATAAACAGAAACTCTACACAAGATTGACAAATCACGCTTTAATTCATCGCACTGATATAAAACCATCAGATTCAATTTCATTGTTACATGTCAAATATGATGGCGATGATCAAAATCTGTTAAACACATTGATAACTCTAAGCCTAATCTCATTACACATGTATTTTCTTCAATCTAAAAAATCTACTTTAAAAACTTTATCACAATTGATTTCATAACAGATCGTTATTGGACACAATAAAACGTATCACAATACACACAATATTCTAATTTGTCACTTTCAAATAGAATAATCTACAACTACCTATAATGTATACTATTACCCAAAATCTACACTACATAACAAGTATGAAATATTTAGTTAATTGATGGTCTATTTGGCAAATTGGATGATATCAACAAGATCGTATATATACAAATATCCCGCGCAGTAAGTGCCAATATAAAACATTTATAGGCACGCTAATACATTTCAACAAGCAATGCATTTAGATCAAATACAACAAGATGTTATCCAGGATGACAAACATCAATTTTTGTCTTCTTTAAATATGTATGTACGCCAAATAATAACACCCCCACACTTTTCCCAATAAAATACTACTTTTCCCGACTTTTAAGCCAATTTCTCCGTTAACGTCTGCACTGTCTTAATTCACACGAAGTTGGGAGGTGGAGCCAAGCTGCCAATCATGCTGGCGCTTGGTGATAGCAATTCTCGACTTCCATTCGTTACTGATAATTGCTTATGATTGATACAGGCGCAACAGAGTTGGGACGAACTAAAACTTGCATTCAAGAGGCTAAATAACTAAGGTGAGACATGTAGGTAAGACACGGCTTTTATTTTATTTATTCTAAAACGTTTTAATTGAACATAAGTAAAGGGTATTGGTTGTTGACATTTTATTTCATTGTTTGAAAGGTTGCATTACTGGCAATCGATGGAAATGTGTTATCATTTTGTTGCTCAGTCTTTGCACAGAGCTTTTTTCATTGTAAACTTGTAGTACGTATATTATGCCTTCAGACTGAGGTAGAAGTAAGGTGATTTTTATATAAACCTAAATCTTTCACTTTTTGAAGCGACTATAAGTTTGTCTATTCAAGCCATAATAATGCTCCGTTAGTTTTTAATCGTCGTAATTGTTGAATAGTGTAGACTCTGGCACTTGCAGTATTCCCGAATAATACCCGTCTTTGCGCAGAGTTTCTTTTTTCATTGTAAACTTATAGTACGTATATTCTGCCTTTAGACTGGAGTGGAAGTAAAGCGATTTTTATATAAACCCAATTTTTTCACTTTTTAAAGCGACTATATGTCTGTCAATGCAAGTCATCATAATGCTCCGTCAGTTTTTAATCGTTGTAATTGTTGAATAGTGTAGGCTCTGACACTTGCAGTATTCCCGAATAATACCCATTGTATATGCACGGTATATTGATAGCCGACGAATTTAGAGTTTTCACAATTGTATTTGATAAATAAGATGCAATAAGTTAGTAGCTGACCATAATATATTAGTTTTAACCCCATGAGCGTGGATGCTTTTTTTTTATAAATTTATAACAATATGAAGACTTTTGCAAGAAAAAAAAAACTGGTTTTATGTGACTTGGCAACACGTGGGTTTATTGGAGCGCGGTAAATTGTTTTGTACTAGTCTCTGCATATCAGAAAAAGTTAATAAAAACAATAAAAAGTGTGATGTTTAATGTTTAACCATTACGTTCACATGCATATAAATATGTATTAGAAACTGGAGAAGCGAGGGCAGCAAAATCTACTTGCATACGCCATGCGATGTACTATAAGGCACATTTTGTCCGTATAGCGGCACTACGGGCTTCTTATATCATCAAGAGTTCTGTTACGTGAACGCCACGCCAACGTGTACGCGGGGCCCCGATACGTCGTCCCATCCAGACTTCTAGGCACTGTTCCTAGTCAGGACCCTAACCTTGGCCCTGCACCACTGACATGCCAGGCGCATGCCACACTTGAAAAACCCGGGGAAGTTTTTCCGTCAATAACGGGATCGAACCCGTAATTCCTGGTTAATGAGTCAGAGCCTCTATCACCGAGCCACCTTGGCCCCTATTCTCTTTAATGAGTGTTTTCAAACTTATTGCCAAATCTTGATTGATATTATTGTTAATCCTCGTTGACCATTGTTCTCGGTGACGGTACGATGTTATTAATTTGAAAGTGGAGTATATGCTGACATGCGATGGTGTTAATTATCTTGCTGATCTTCAAGAGGTGGCGATCTCTTTAAAAGGTTTCACATTCACTGCGAAACTAATTCATGAGTAACTTGAAAATAAGTAAACGCTTCCTACACATCGATCTAAGTTCATTGAGAAGTTTCTTGAGTTCACTTAAGTCTTGGTCTTCAAGTCCTCGTCCTCCCCTCACTAAACCATTCATTGGTATTCTAGCAATAAGCTCCAGAGAAACCCTGAACGGTATATCATGTTTCATACCATTTAATCCAATTATGAGACATGACTATGATTTTAACCCATCGAATCAGACCTACTATCCTCTATTTAGCGGATAAAATGGAGTGATTTTACATGGCGTAAACACTAATAGCTTATTTATAATGAAGAGGGGGCTGGATGGCCGAATGGTTAGTGCGTTGTATAACAAGGTCTGTCATTGAGTCAACTGGCGTGGTTTCGATTCCCCGGTTGTACGTGACAAGGAGTAGAATTGCCTGTCCAACCTCGTGGGTTTTCCAAGGGTCTTCCGGTTTCCTCCCACTGCTAAAGATCCCTATGCGCAAACGAATTGCTGAAATAAAATTGAACCATTAAATTGTCCCCAAATGACCTGGTTTGTGTCAAGTGGACGTTTAACCTATCTCTCTCTCTCTCGCTCTCCCTCTCTCTTCTGTTTAAAGATGGGTTCCCAGAAAAGTATTTATCAGGTGGTTATTTCCAATACAAGTATGGCAATTTTGGTATATATGGAAAGTAGAGATATCCAATCTTACTAGAAAAATACTGGATTCCCCGAAAAACACTCATAGAGCGTATACAGGACAAAAATGTAAGGGTTCCCCTAATGAACAGCCCGACGATTAAGAATTTCTGCACGCGTGATGTCAAAGGTCACACGCGAACATTGAGCGCTTGATGTACAAGTTGATAAACGTTATGAAGAGTTAGACGTACAACACTTTCTGAGATAAAAATGACGGAAAAAGACGCGGATAGTGGATAATCCGAGAATTTAATTAGGATTCGATATTTGTAATAAATAGTAAGCGATTAAAGACAACATCGTCTTATGTATGCAATGAATTCTCCTGTGACTTCCAAGACGTGACGTAAACATGACCTGGTTTGATCGAATTTTAATAGCAGGGCATTCCTTCGCAATTACAATGTTTGAGAAGGATTTGAAGCATAATTATGACAAATTAATTAGTTTGGATATGTTTTTAGTCCATATATACCATTAAATCACCCAGTTTGTACGCGGGAACCCATCTTTAACGCATATAATGAAGAGATAATGTAATATACCAGTTACTATAGATATTGTATATATATATCACACATCTGTCAAAACAGAGTTTTAAATTAGTAATTAATTTCCATCCATTATTGTCTCTTTGTTTAAACTGGAATGATACCCAAAGACACAGTATCTAATAAGCTCATGCTGAGACTTCGGGCCTACAAATCGTGATGTTTAATTTTATAATATGCTTTGTGTGATAGTCGTTCGGATAGGACAAAAAAACCGAGGTCCCGTGCACGTAAAAGATCCCTTGGCAATTGGAATTCAGTATAAGAGTAGGCCATTGTGCCGCTTCCCGGGCAATATTCCCACATAGCACACTGCGTGGCGTATGCCCGTCTTCACTAGCCCAGTCGTAGCAGAGCAGTAGGACGTTAAATCCCATTTCATTTCATTTCAATTTTGCTTTGTATGAATGCATGAAACGTGGTTTATGAGGGGGGGGGGGGTCCTTTGTAATAAATACATGTTGGGTAAATCTTAGAATGTAATAAAGTACAGATCCGCAGCTAAATACAAAGAGTTAAACTTTGTTAGTTATGCAAAATCCTAAAATGGGTGTGGTGCCAAGTGTAAGCGTGTCCGACTATGTACATGGCACGGCTGTACTTATAGCTAACGGGGGCATTGGTTTGGACTAAGCTTCTCACAAGCCTCTATAGAATGAATGGTATTACCTGTTGGGACTATGCTTCTCACATGAATGGTATTACCCCGTTTGGACTACGCTTCTAGCATGAATGGTATTAATAATTGCAACAAACCGTTTAGCGTGTGCTAATTGTTTTACAAACAACTAACATCATTATTAAATTTGTTTATTTCTATGTACTTATTAATAATTACAACAACTCGTTTACGGTATGTTGGTATATTAGAAACACAACAACATTTGGTTGTATCTATGGACTAAGCCACACACCATCATGTCTCTTAATACATGCAACAAACTACATTATATTAAGAACACCTAACACCATTTGTACATATATCTATGGTCTAAGCCACACACAACATCACATATTTCTTCTTTCAATCAATAATTGCTACAAACTGTTTATTGTGTGCTAGAATATTAAGAACACCCAACAACATTTCTTTGGACTAAGCCAAACAACATCACAAATTAATACTTTCAACAAACCGTTAAGAGTGTGCTAATTATTTTAAGAACGCCTAACACCATTTGTACATATATCCATGGACTAAGCCACACAACATCATATATTAATACTTGTACAACAAACTGTTAAGGGTGTGCTAATTATTTTAAGAACGCCTAACACCATTTGTACATATATCCATGGACTAAGATATTAATGATTGTAACAAACCGTTTCGAGTGTGCTAATAATTTTAGAACACCTGACACCATTCAATTAATAATTGCAACAAACCGTTTAGTGTGTGCTGGTATATTAAGAACTGGGGACTAAGCCACACACCATCATATATTACTTCTTTTAATTATCTATTAATACTTGCAACAAACCTTTTAAGTGTGCGAATTATTTCAAGAACACCTAGCAATATTTGGTTATTTGCACACTGTTCTAAATTTAATTATTTTTAAGTTTATCGTCTGTAACGTATATTATTCTGTCATCTTCATGTACCAACATTGTTATGGTCATTAATTTAACGTGTTCCAATTTACTATATTTATAATGATACGAAGTCAAAGATTACACAGTGCTCCTATTAGGGCTGATCAGCACTCAAACAGAAATACTTCAGGATATTGGTTGATAATTGGTCTTGATTCAGGAGCCCTCGGGCGACATTCCAAAAGAAACTAACCTTTGTACAGAATAAAAAGCGTCGACATAGTAACATTCCATTTCAAATAACGAGACATTTTAATCAATGTAATAATTTTAATAAAGCTAGGGAAGCTTAAGGACAATACAAATGTCAGCAAATTGAAAGGGTTTTAATGTTCATGAAAACTATTCTTGTATACATGCAGTAATTGTGTAATGGTGACTGAACGTTTACTGTTGATATGATCATTCTGGTTTCTTAATTATATCCCGTCTTCATTAGCCCAGTTCGGAGCAGAACAGTAGGACGTTAAATCCCATTTCATTTCATTTCTTAATCATATGTTGAAAATAAATTTGAGTTTATATTAGCGTGGATGATGTCGTGAAAAAAATTGGCTAAAATGCAAATGACGATCGGCTTTGTTAATGTCAGTATAACTTAAATACTAAAAGTACACAGTCTGTCTACAATAATTAGCGCCACTTGAGAACAGACACAAATCTAGTTGATCGACATTTTAATTCCTA